GTTGTTCATCAGTGTGGAAACCAACATTTAAGGTGCATTACTGCCACCTACTGAGTGTGGGCCAGTAGAGAATACCCATAATGAATGAATTCCCGCGTCTCGCCAGGAGATGGCGCCGCAGCTGAATCAATCATCCATCCGATCCATCCATCCAATTTTTTTTATTTTTTTTTATTGATTATGTATCAAACAATAAGCAGACATACATGACAGAACAGATAGAACTTCTACAGGAATGAAATTATATTAAATATATGTAAAGTTTCAAAAAATGTTTATATATATGTGTGTGTGTGTGTGTGTGTGTGTGTGTGTGTGTGTGTGTGTGTGTGTGTGTGTGTGTGTGTAGGCTATATATATATATATATATATATATATATATATATATATGTATTTATATACATACACACACACACACACACACACACACACACACACACACACACATATATATATATACACACACACATACATACAAAATAACATGATAAACATATACAGAGGAAATATTATGCATCAGTGGTATTACCAAAAAATCATCATAATATTTCAAGAATCTGTCACTTTTCTTGTTTTTAATCAACCAATCAAGTATTAGCTTTATCTTTATAGTAACAGATTATATATTTTAATTGAAAGGATTTGGAAGAATCAAGGTGCCTACATGAAGATATAAACTATTCCAAGTAATGGATCAGTGTTTCATCCTTATTCCCACAAAATGAGCAAGAACTGTCAACATCCATATATTTTGCCACAGTATCATTCACTGTGTATATGTAAGATCTTAAAATGAACTTCTTAAGTCTTATTGGAAATGCAGTACTTATGAGTTAACAGCAGGCTTCCTTCCAGTCTATAAGTTCAATAAAAGAGGCCCAATAAAATTTGCCTTTAGCAACATTATATTTTTTATTCTGAAGAATTTGTCAAATATGCTTATTATTACATTTCTTGTTAAATATACGTATTCCATCTAAGATCAAATCAAGTTCTTTGGTGACACTCTTACTAAAACTTAGATGACATTTAACAAGTTGACTTGCATACCCATTATATTCATTGCATAGCACTGCATTATATTCTTTAAATGGTAAGGGGAAATTATGAACAGACATAAATTCTTCATAAGATAAAAATGTACCAGATTTATCAAAAATGGAGAGAATTCATGTTAATATTCCTGAGATATTCCTGTTAAACCATGAGAGAAAAACAGATTTATTCCTAATCATTATATTAGAGTTGTTCCATAGAAAGGTTTAATGTGGTGAAAAATTGTGGGTGTATAACTTTGCAAGCAAGAAGGGCCTGCTGATGAAATTTAGATTCAATGCAATCTTTTCAGCAAGTAGTTATATTTTAATATACAGGGAAGGCCACCAATTTTTGTAAAGATATGATTCGGGATAAAAAAAAATATAGAATTAGAATTTGTTAAGCATCTTTTAATACAATTTATCCGAAATGTGTTCACTGTATCACTAAAATCTAACACTAACAATCAAATTGTTTTATTAATTCCTTTAGCAGTAGAGTCATTGACAAAAACGAGAAAGGGGATATACAAAACGAGATAATCCTTCTGCTTTAGATAAAAGAACCCTCGCATAAAGGGAAAGGTCTCTTTGGAGCCAAAGATTAAAGATGTTTTTGGTTTTGGTTTTTTTGACCCGGCCGTCCAGCTGCTAAATTTTTTTGTTAAATAAATACCAAGATACCTTACGGCCTCTTTTACTGAGATACCATCGATTGAAGAATCATCATTTTTATAGAGCGTCATTATCTCACACTTGGACATATTCAGATTCAATCCAGAAGCACATGAAAACTGCTCCATTACATTTATAGCCTTGGTTAATTGACTCTTATCTTTTAAAAAAAGAGTCGTGTCATCAGCCAACTGGGAGATTTTAATTTCTCTATCAAAGATGGATATACCTTCCAAGCTTTGTTCATGGATAATACTTAATGATAATAGTTCTGTAACTTAATTTATTTAATGTAAATAATATTTATATACAACAGGGATTCTCATATACAGGTTACATGAAAGGTTGCATAAAAAAGTAACTGATTTGTAAGAAGTTACATCAAAGTGAAAATTGTATTTGAGATAACAATGTATTTACATCAAGATGGAAATAGAGTTTCATCATATTAACAAAATCAGATTATATCAAACTTACTAAGTGATTTGAATTTGCAGCAATATATATATACAATTGAAACCAGATATTTACATACACTTCAGAAAAAAAACACAAAAACTTGTATTTCTTCACTGTCATACATTAAATCAGAGTAAACTTTTTCTGTTTTAGATCAATAAATATTAACATTTTTTGCATTTGTTAAATGTCAGAATCGAGCGAGGGATAATTTTTATGTTTTTTTATCACTTTCATCAAAGTCAGAAGTATACATAAGTTTATTGTGTCTTTAAACAAAAAGAAAACTCCAGATGATTCAATTCTGAGGTTCATAGATTCCATTTGAGTTAATTGGTGGCACACCTGTGGATGCATATAAAGGCACACCTCAAACACAGAGCCTCTTTCTTTGACATCATTGGAAAATCAAGAGAAATCAACCAAGACATCAGGAAAAGAATTGTGGACCTCCACAAGTGTGGCTCATCCTTAGGTGCAATTTGCAGATGCCTGAAGGTCCCACGTTAATCTGTTCAGACAATAATACGCAAGTATAAAAAACATGGGAATGTACAACCATCATACCGCTCAGGAACGAGACGGATTCTGAGTCCCAGAGAGGAACGTTTTTTGGTGTGAAATGTGCGAATCAATCCCAGGACAACAGCAAAAGACCTTGTGAAGATGCAAGCTGAAACTGGTAAGACAGTGTCATTATCCACAGTAAAACGAGTCCTGTACCACCATGAGCTAAAAGGTTACACTGGGAGAAGAAAGCCATTACTTCAAAACCACCATAAAAAAGCCAGACTACTGTTTGCAACTGCACATGGGGACAAAAATCTTAATTTCTGGATGTGGTCTGATGGAACAAAAATTGAACTGTTCGGCCATAATGATAAACGGTATATTTGGAGGAAAAAGGGCGAAGCTTTGAAGCCTCAGAACACCATCCCAACTGTGAAGTATGGGGGTGGTAGTATAATGTTGTGGGGCTGCTTTGCTGCAGAAGGGACTGGTGCACTTCACAAAATAGATGGCATCATGAGAAAAGAGAATTTTGTGGATATATTGAAGCAACATCTGAAGACATCAGCCAGGATGTTAAAGCTTGGGCACAAATGGGTCTTCCAAATGGACAATGACCCCAAGCATACCTCCAAATTAGTTACAAAGTGGCTTAAGGACAACAAAGTCAAGGTATTGGAGTGGCCATCACAAAGCCCTGATCTCAATCTTATAGAAAATTTGTGGGCCGCACTGAAAAAGCGAGTGCGAGCAAGAAGGCCTACAAACCTGACCCAGTTACACCAGTTCTGTCAAGAGGAGTGGGCCAAAATTCCAGCAAACTATTGTAGAAAGCTTGTGGAAGGATACCCAAAACGTTTGGCCCAAGTGAAACTGTTTCGGGGCAATTCAAGTCAAGTCACTTTTATTTATATAGCGCCTTTTACAATACAGATTGTATCAAAGCAGCTTCACAGTGATAACATGAAAATAATACAACAAAGTTTGTTTCTAGAAGAAAATTGCGTCAACGTCCACCTTAAGTAAGGCAGATCAATAATATTGTTGAATATTAAATGTCCCCAACTAAGCAAGCCAAAAGCCAAGGCAATTCTACCAAATACTAAGGAAGTGAATGTATACTTCTGACTTTGATGAAAGTGATTAAAAAAATACATAAAAATTATCCCTCGCTCGATTCTGACATTTAACAAAGGCAAAAAAAATATGTTAATATTTATTGATCTAAACCAGAAAAAGTTTACTCTGATTTAATGTATGACAGTAAAGAGATAAAAGTTTTTTTTTTTTCTGAAGTTATGTAAATATCTGGTTATATATATATATAGCCTCAGTAAAATATTTCAGGTTGGTTGAATCTAGTTACATATTCAATAATCTTACACAATTGCTTTCACTTCAACAAAATGTAGATGTTACCACATGCCTTTCATTTAAGTTAAATAGGCACAGTGCAGTTGTGAATTTGAGTTTCCTTCAGCCTGATGCATTTTCCTGTTGCTCATGGTGTAAAAGGGTTATTCGTCTGCAATTCATTATGCTTTTTCACACCTCGTAAGGTGTGAAAGTACTTTTAAACCGACCGGGTTGCAAGTGATAAACTTCTTGAATTAAAAGTGATTCAAAATCCAAATCAAATCAACTTTTTTTTAAAAAGTCAACAGACTCTGGGTCCAGAGCTTCCTAATTTTTACAATCTCCACTACACCAATGCTGGTAGAATTTAGTGTGTGTCAAAATTAAGTGTGTGTGTATATAGATCTTGTAAAAAATATATGTATATATATTTTTTACAAAATCAAATAAACTTTAAGACATTAGTTTATGACACTTAAAGGAAGGAAAGCAGAGCTATGGTTTCACTCAGAAAACACTATTATTTGCTTCCACCATCTCATATATATCAGTACAACTGAAGAGGAACAAACAAGTCTGCTATTTTTGTAAAAGAAAAATTCCATGATGCCATTCATTCCAAGTCTGTTTGCCTTTCTTCCGCAAAAACACAAAATATGATATTTTTAATAATTATGGTAACCAAAAGGTTTTGGAGAAGATACTTTGGTAACCAAAAGGTTTTAGTTACCATTGACTTCCATTGTGTGTGTGTATATGTGTATATATATATATATATATATATATATATATATATAAAAACATGTTTCAAAGTATCTTCTCTTATGTTCCACAGAAAAAAAAGAAAGTCATACATTTTGGAATGGCATGAAAGATAAAACATTTAAGATATTTCATATTTCCAAAGCTTGATTGTTCTGGTAGTTTAAAATAAACTGCTTTAAAAAAATGTATATACATTTCTGCATTGATTACTCGTATAATGTGGTCCGATCTTCATCTACATCTGGGTTTACACTGTACAATTTTGGCCACAATTTGGCCGTTGGAGACAAATGTTGAGAATCCTAAAAGATTCCTCTGATTCTATACCCCAAAATCTGAAGTCTTGTTTGACATGTTTGCTGACAGCTGATTAATGACCGTTGCAATCAAATTCTGGCAGTGTCAGAAGATTTGACGCACATTCCTATAGTGTTGGTTCTCCTACGACATATATATGTATATAAAATATAAACTTACAATTTTCTTTTGACAGTCTTTTTCCAATTTATACTGTTGTACTAGTTTTCTCATCATTGGTGTTGTGGGAATAAACTGTGGGCTGTGTAAGGTTCATGAATTGCAGTCTACAGCAGGGTGCCATGTACAAGAGTCTGAAAAGGTGCCTCCTAAATTTCTGTCTCACAAACGCATAGATAATGGGATTCAGGCAGCTGTGTGAGTAAGCCAAAGCTTCTGTGATCTGAAGACTTAGACTAATTGCCTTACTGCTGTCACAAGACTGTGTTATGAGTTCATTCAGCTCTAAGACTTTTATAAAAGCTGTGACATTGTATGGAACCCAACAGCAGAAGAAGACCACCATCACCACAATGACTAGACGCATGGCCTGCCTCCTGGAAGAGTGAACTGTCAGGAGTCTCTTCAGAATCATTGAGTAACAAAATCCAATCACAATAAGTGGGAGAATTAGACCCATGATATTCATTTTCAAGATACCAAAAGTCCTCAAAAAAAGGTTTGAATTTTGATCATTTGTTGGATAAGATGTGCAATGTATTTGTTCATTATAACCTGTGGTTTTCAGGAACATCAACTCAGGAAAGGATGCAGAAACAGCAACAATCCATATGAACACACTGACTAAGATCCCATATGTCCTTGTTCGGACTCTCAAGGCAAACACAGCATGAACTTCAGCTAAGTATCGATCAACACTCATAAGTACAATGAAGAATATCCCACTGTAGAATCCAATGTGGTGGACACTGAGGACCATAATGCACATAACATCTCCAAAGATCCACTGGTCTCTGGTGTAATGTGCCAGGAAGGGAAGAGAGGAGACCAGCAGCAGGTCAGCTATAGCCAGGTTCAGGAGACAGATGTCGGTCATGGTTCTCAGTTTGCCTCCCATCAAGACCACCCAGACCACCAGTATGTTACCCAGAAAGCCCAGCACAAACAAAAGGGAGTATAACACTGGAAGAATGTTGGCTCCATGTTCTCCATAAACACAGGAAAATGCAGATGAATCAATATTTCCAGCATAGAAGTCATCATAGTCGTATGGCACATCAGTATATGGCTCATCATCCAATTTCCCATTCGTACTATCATTTGAGCAGGAAAAGAAACTGTAAGCAAAACAGAACTCCACTTTCGACAGTAACTAATCTTAAATGCTTGTATGTCATAACCTCACCAGGATAAAGTATGATGATACAGTTGAAGAGGACCATTGGTTACCATCGCTGTCCATGGACGGAGTGCAAGGGTCCTGTTCATGATAAATGGCTGCTATCCAAATATAAAGGCAAAAAAAAAAAAATGTATCACTGTAACACCGTTTATAATCACAAAATAAAATTTAAAACAGAATCCAAAACGGGCGGCAGTCACTTTTCAGCCGAATGCCTCACATGAATAAAAGAAACAACAACACTAACACCACACATCTGTGTTTAACATTTCCTCTGTATAAACTAACAAAGGATCTTTCAACGATTTCACAACAGTTTCACAAAGTGTTCTTAACTCTGTAAAGAGAGGAAAAAGGGCTTACAACAACAGACGTTCCAATGGTCTTGAGTTTGTATGATTAACAAGAGTAATCTGAAAAATCTAATAAAAATGTAAGACATTAGTTTATGACATTTAAAGGAATGAAAAGGGGAACAGAGCTAGTTTCACTTATGATTTGCTTCCGCCATCTCACATCAGTAAAACTGAAGAGGAACTAACAAGTCTGCTCTTTTCTGTAAATCTCTTTGAATTTCTTCAGCACATGCACAAGAAGAAATTTTGAATAATGCTGGGTACCAAAAGGTTTTGGTCACCATTGTATGTAAAAAAAAAAAAAAAAAAAAAAAAAAAAAAAAAAGGTAAAGACTTTTTTCAAAGTATCTTCTCTGATGCACAAACAAGGTCAGCCAGAACCGGAAAAACTTCCTATAGCACCCGATGTACTTGTTACATCATAAGAAGAATGGCATCTATGCTAGTCTCACTGTTTATCCAGAGGTTTACCGTAGTCAGCCGGATCGGGCCGTATCCAGATGGATCAGATGGAGGACCTGAGCCTAGACACGACCACAGCGCATCCCTGAAGTGTCAGCGGAGATTGTGTCAACTAGACTCTCCCGTGAAGTCCTCATCGACACAACAGCCATCGGCACTGATCCTCAACAAACCCGTCTCCATACCGGTAGATGGAACTGGATAAATATTGTGAATGTTCCGATCCATTCTGACTTGGTCTGACTTCTGACCTGTAATGCTGCCTGAATCATAATCACACACTGTTCGTTCGTTGGCTCCCGACTGAGCCTGGTTTCTCCCAAGGATTTTTTCTCCATTCTGTCACCTGATGAGTTTGGGTTCATTGCCACTGTCGCCTCTGGTTTGCTTAGTTGGGGACACTTAATTTTTTAACAATATTATTGATCTGACTGCATTAACACCATTATATGAGAACTGAACTGAGCTGGACGATGACATCACTGTTTTCTCCAGAGCTGCTGTATAGATAATTTAATTTAATTAAGAACTAATGATTTTTACAATGAAAATTAAACTACACTGAACTTACTTCAAGGGTTAGTTCCCTCAAAAATGAAAATTAAAATATAATCAAGACAAATGAGACAAATAATGCAAAAGACAAATACAATCGGAGTTATATTAAAAAATGTCCTCGCTCTTCCAAGCTTTATAATGGGAGGAAGCTAGTGATTATAGTTTTTAAAGTTTTAAATATGGGTATACGGAAATGTAATATATAATGACATATATGTCCCTATATCGCAAGTGACGCTGTCATATATGCTAAATATATGACAATATATTGCTATCACATATATACATATCTCTAGATATATGTTGATATAGGTTTATAACATATAAATTGTCCATATTAAATGAGTATATTGACATATATTAATACAATGTATATGATTATTCTTTATATAATATTGTATGTTATAACCATATATTTCACTGATATGTTTAATTTATATGCCAATATATTTAAACAACATACATACATTTTACAAGCTTATGATTTCCTTATTAATTCATTCCTTCTTTTCCTTATTTGAACATCTTGAACTTTTAAACAAGTCTACACAATCCACATTTCTTTTCAATTTCTATCCCATTTTAGAATTAGCACAATTTTTTATAAATAAAATTGATTTTTTTTATTTATTATTTTACCTTATCTTAACTGGCTCATAAAAACAAAACAAATACTAAACAAATTATATTTGCAAACTTAACTTTTTTTTCATATCATCATAACCAAAATTTGAAATTTGAAATTATTTATGTATTTTATTCTTTTATTCTTTGTGTATTTTAGTATATTTATATTTATATTTAAATTGTGCTTTTTTGATTAGTTACTATTGCACTGAATTACTGAGTGGTGGATGTGTGAAACACAATTTCGTTTTTATGTAGGCTACACCATGAAAATGACAAATAAAGGAATCTCGAACCATATATCAATATAATCAATTTCTATATGTAAGAAAATACATACATTAATACATGCACTACATATGCAGATGCTTACAGAATAATACACAGTTAATTTGTCTCCAACAAAGCGTGGCAGAGCTGCAAAAACTGATGTCACTGATGTCAGATATGAAAAAAAATAAAACGTTCCTTCATAATAATTAAGAAAAGTCACCGGTATAATCACATCTGTGCTGTTCCAAAAGCATGTAAAAACACTTTCTGTGCATTTCAGGCCATACATTTATTAGCATGCGGTTCCAGCCCAATACCTTACGTCATTGCCTAATGCCCCGATCTTTATTAGGCGCGCCAAAATTCAAACGCAATCAAAAGACCGCCAAATTACGCGCATTCAGAGACCAACTGATGAAGAATGTTCGCCCTTGTCGAGTGGAAAGAAGAAGCTGATAATTAAAGTTGGAGCATTGTTCCAACATCACACATAAAAAACTTAAATATTAATGATTTCTTAGACAGACTTGATGACAGATCTGTAGGCTATATTTAATTGAGTGGAGAGGCGGACTGAAGAAAAAACCTAAAGGCGGATGGCCGTACGAGGCAACTGTGTTGCAGGTAAGTTAATTTCTGAACTTTTATTATAATTCACACATTGATATTGCACAGATAATAAATAATTAAAATAATCGCTGAATTGCATGAGCTATTTATAAGCTACTGATCATATCGAAGCTAGTACAGATCGGATAATTGAGCAGATATTCTGTGATTAACTGTTAAGTTTTTTTTAACGTTAATATTTATTGTGTGCGTTGCATTTTCATGTTCTCATTTTCATGGTCATGTTTACGAGCTAGGAGTAGGCCCAGATTATCAACGTTAACGTTACACTGCAGTGCATCATTCTAAGATATTTAAATGTTTTTTTTATGTGAGAATAATATCTTTTAAAAAAGTAAGATTTCAGCTGTCAAACACATCATGTAGTGGAGAAAAAAATACAATGCCTTTAGAGTCTAGAACTAATACAATAATACTAAAGTAAAAATATCTCAAATGTATGCCAATGTAAACTTGCAGGATATTAAATTCCTGTCAGTATGTGTGCTAATATTTTGAACACTGTCCCCCATTATGACATCAATAATTTTGTGGGTGCATAAGCGTTTACATTTGGTCAGCCTATGTTGTTGTCATTGTCATGATAGCCCTAGTTGTATCTTTTGTTTTAGATTCTACATTTTGTATTCCCCTTTTTCCCCCACAGAGAGACAGTCAGTCCACCCTAGAAAAACGAATGAGGACACAACATCAGTCCAGTCCAAAACTTCCGAGCAAAAGAAAATGCAGGCCAAACCCTAGGCTTGTTGAAGAGGAGACCAGTAATGATGGACCATCTAGCCACAAAAGGTCACAAGATTATTTTTTTACTGGGACCTAAAACTAGCATCTGCATTTCAAATGTAAAAAATAATTGGCTGCCCACTATAAAGTTGTTGCTTCAGGATAAAATAAAACAAAATCATTATTACTTATAACTTTGCAAATTAATTACTACATTTAGAAATTAAATACTTTAAATACCTAAAATGAATCATCCAAAGTTAGGAGTACCTAATAACCTACAACTTTCCCTAGATCTTGTCAGGATTAGTCATTTTTCACAGCCAAGTACAGTACACGCAGTCTGTCAGAGTTGTTTATGTTGCTTTGCCCGTTTCTACTTATGGTAAAGCTTATATACAAGTCTATATCTGTTTATCTGTTTTAATGCCATCAGCTAATCCACTCTGCTATTATTTCCGAGTTTTGGGCAAGCTGATCTTCATTTTCTGCTAAAGAAATTGAAAATACCAATGTTTCCTCTAGGATCTTTTCCAGCCGTGGTGGCAGGCCCATTTCGCCAGGGGGAGGGGGCGTGGCCCATGAGTGATATTCCCATTGGCCGCGCCCCCTTATCCCAGGTGTTTAAACCTCCCCTAAGCATTATAACATGAAAGGCGCCAATAAGAGCGGCAAAGGGATTATGCGCATCCCGTGTGCAGAATGATGCACTTGAAGCAACGCGAAGTCACAGCGTGCAGCGCTTCGAATTGAAAAGTTCAAAGCACAAAGCGAAGAGATTATATCTGTCTATGCTTAATGTATTATATCTATGCAACAGTTTATTGAGCCTTTTCTTTTAACAGTTTTAAATTTCAGTTAAACTCTAGTGCTGTAGTAACAGACACCCGGGAGAAAGGAATATGATTTAGAAAGCGCTATAAACTCCAGCAAGACAAAGTAATTTTATGCAAACTATAGAGTAGACCTTTATCTACAAATAAAGTATAATAATGGGAACATTGATCTTGAAGAGTAAGTAAGTAAAGTAAGTAAGTAAAGTTTATTTCTATAGCACATATAAAACAGCTTGCGCTGACCAAAGTGCTGTACATAGTTGTACTGGCCACAGGGTAATAAAACACATGTAATAGAAATACATTTACAAATACATTTGGTTTAGGCTAAAACAACATTACAGAGAGACAGCAGGTTAAAACACACTTAGCAGGAAAAACATTTAAGATGCCTAAAAGGCCAACATAAAAAGGTGGGTTTTAAGTCTAGCTTTAAAAATATCAATATGGGGGGCATTTCTGATTTCGGGTGGCAGTCGGTTCCACAGCTGAGGGCCAGCAATAGAGAAGGCTCTGTCACCCTTCCGCTTTAGCCGGGACCGTGGGACATGCAGCAAGCCCTGACTGGAAGATCTGAGGGCTCTGGGAGTTGCTTAGAGCTGAATGGTATCTGCTAAGTAGCTTGGGGCCAGTGCGCGTAGAGATTTAAAAACCATTAG